ATATGAGGTTTCATTGTTTGACATTTTACATCCCTTTTAACATCGTTTTGGAGTCACAACACCGCTGTCCTCGTGGCCTCCAACAGTCGCCCACGTTGTGCCTACGTCTTGGACAATTTAACACGCATAACGCTGTCCAAACTCATCACTTTACTCCTCCTCCTCCTCCTCCTCCCTCCCCCTCCCCTCCCCTCCCCCTCCCCCCGATTGAAAGACTGAGCTTTAGCCACGGCGACAAGCGCTAGCTCATGAAAATGCCCAGTCTAGGTAACTCAGATCACCTTGAAAGGTCCATGAAAGGGTGCGCAATTAAATTGTGCTTCACGAACACAACAACACGATTTACCTTAGCAAGAAGGCTGGAATCGGCACCTTTACAGAGCACAAGAACCGGTTTCTCGGGCACGTAGGTGGATGTCTCCTCCTCGCCCTGCAGCACGGGTTGCACAATAACGGACATGCATTTTCGAGTAGTGTCAAATTCAAGAACATCCAACAGACGATATTGAAGTCCTTTTTTTCCAAAAAGTGTAATTACCTTCAAAAAATTGTGAGTATTTTGCATTTGGCTAATAAGAGAGGTCAAAATTCGGATCCTCCAGAGAATAATGAGAGTCCTTACGTGCAATTGTTGTTTATTCTGTCCGTGGTAAATTATTCCCAAGTCGCGGCAGCCCTCTACGAACGTTTTTTCGTCTGGTGAAGAAGCCTAATTACATAAAAATGAAGAAATTTACGTTAGATGGTCATGCTGAGGTGTTATGGGACAGTAGCAGGTAGTCTGTGAGGCAGTTGTGAAATTGGAGTCGCTGTTTGCTTGCCAATCGACTTGATGGCACTATTTATCACGGCATTGCTGTAAACACTTTGTAAAACTACAAAACGCTAGCCTCGAAGCTTTCCAATTAAGGCGTGGGGACCTTGCTTGGATCGCCTCACTAATCAAAATATGAGATTTGAACAAGTAAATCACAAAATATGCGTGTACTGCAAAAAAAGTTCCTTTTCTACTTCGACAGTTGATGTTTCTGTCTGTACGTGAAGACACCAGATAGGGCAGAGTGCATTAGCCATGGTAGATGTGAAAAGTTGATTGTGAATAATAAATAGCTATCTCTAAAGGCAAGCAAAAGCGCAAATTTTTATTAAAGCCAACCATAAGTTCGACTTAGCTACTTAAAGTCAATTAAGTAGTTTAAGTAGAATACCCAAGAATACAATTAATAAGGAAATTTTGTACAACGAAGGCGCAACATATAAAAGCAAAGAAGCAGAGTTCGATAGAACCATATTTATTGTAGATTCGTACCTGATATTCATAACTCTGACCACAATCAATTTCTGATCCACTATTCACCGCACTGACAGCCTCCTGTGCCGAGAGAATAGCAGACTCGCGTCGTCGATAGGTCCATTCCTTTGACGGAGGTGTCATCTTATTAAGGTGCATAAGTTTAAACCTCTCCTTCACCCTCTTCTTTAACCGTTTTTGCTTCCTTATATGGTCCATAAGACTGACGCTCAACGACTGACGTGCCTCCGGATCCTGCTCCACTCGAACGGTGTGGCAAAGTGCAAGAAAAATAAGGAGAATTTGAACAGTCATAGGCATTTGGGTAAAGGAAAGACCAGCACCAGACAAGCGAGGAGAGGTGAGATCGCGCAATTTTGTCGCTTGCACCTCAAAGAGGGGATGCAGCATGGAGTCACGAAGGAGGTAAGTTCCATCCCCAACAACCAATCGTTGAAATGACATCTCATTTCTGGTCAGAGTTCCTGTCTTGTCCGAGAAGAGGTACTCAACCTTGACATTTAAAACACACCAATTATGAAAAATTTTATTGAGCAATTTTTACACTGTTTGGTAAGTTCTAGGTCGTGTACCAAAGGGAACAGGTTGAAACATTTTGATACTCATCTTGCAGGCGCTTAATGGCTTCGACAGGAACCTCGGTCGGGAGAGGCGAAAACAACTTTGGCTCTTACTTTAGAAAGGCATCCAAAGCCAACACCTCAAATGATTATCTCAAAAGCGAATCACAGTATGCGAAATGCTGCATCCTGGTGGATGTGGGACACCTCTGCACGTGTGGTAGTGATAAATCACATCCTGTGAGAGGTTTTTTTTTTTCGCTACCATCATAAACCTGTTTCCACTAGACCTGTAAACCTGTCTTGATAAGTTGGTCCTACGGTCGCAATGCTTGACCTCGCCTTCGGTGATAGGGGCAAAAAAGTAGAAAAGAAGTCAAGTCTTCTTGCTATCTTTGGCAATTAAAATGTATTTGATCAATTGCAACAACTCCTAACTCACAAGTGTCACTACGTCTGGACTTTTATGCGTTAGTTCTGAGCAGCTGCATTTCCCGAGGGGAAAAAATAACTTTAATCCATGCAAGACCTCAAAAGTGAGGGTCAGCAGCTGTGATCAAGGAATTGTAGGGAGTGTTGCACTTATGGGTGTTTTAAATGCCAAAAATTCGCATCACTAACTTACATCAATAAGTATGAGGAGGTTTTCAGGATTATCATGTGGAGTAATTAAGTGTGGGCTGAGGGATTGTGTTTTGGCCACCATCTTTTCTGCACCAATGCAAAGCCCAAAAGTTTAGCAACGACATGAAGGTACAAACAAGAGGCGGCAGTCGATGTACTTTACTTTTGCCACCACCACCACCACCATAAATGGCGACTGTGAAATGTTCACGAATAAATTGTCTTACAATTCTAGTGCGTGAGATAATGCTAGTCCTCACTTAACTGGGAGGTCAAAGCAATGCAAATGTGTTTATTCAAAAGGAACAGTTGAAAATCGTTAGTAAAATGCTTTCTTTTGAAACAAGAAAGAGCCTGAGAGAGTGAACCAATGCTACTTAAAAGTGAATTGAGTAGCGTCTAAAAACCTACTAAAAATTGAAGACTGGCGTTTGCGCATTACTACTCAACTTTACTTTTAATTCTTCAACAGCTACAGTAAGAAGACCAGCAAATGCTGGATTCAATATTAAAAATACAAAAGTTTAAACATGCACAGGTTATAGATTTTAAAGACTTGAGAAAATTTAGGGTAATTAAAAATAGGTATTCTATTCAAAGCAATTTTTACCCATAAACAATGGCATATGATGGCACAAGCTAAGAAAATGAGCTAAAACGCACTTGACCCATTTCTTCCAAGATGTCAGAGGTGTTCACTAAAGCGCGTTCATCAATTTCGGCATCGTAGATCTCCAAATCCCAGCCAAAAAACATGGATCCGATAAATTTTTGGAATTCAATTGTAACGTATAGAGAGATTGGGACAGCGTAGTTAAAAAGGACAATGAATGTAAGTAGATCCTGGGTGACAAACCAGGGTGTAATTTTACGGAACTGGATGTACCATGCATGAACTTTGGAAAGGTTCTTAAGGACCGTGTAAGCAACGCAGGTAAGGAGGAGCCCGAAAAGATAAATTAAAAGAAAAGTGTTTAGTTTGCGTTCAATCTTAGAAAACTTCGCTTTCTTTCTTTTCGCATTCAGTGCCATTTTTGTATCGCAACCGGTGTAGACCACACATCCGTAAACGAAATCTGTATTCTTTAGACGCGCACCACGAAGCAGCAAGCATTCATTACTCAATGGGTAGGCAGTTTCAGTGTCTGAAACAGTCTCAAAAATAATCAGCTTGCCAGTGAACTCGTAAATGTCTTGTACTGGTTGTTGGCACACAATAGTTGCTGAAAGATTGTTGGCAATATCCGAGGGAGTATCCAATTCCCGAGTAACAGGAGGTGCTAACAATCGTTTTAAGTTGGTTTCCCCATCTAGGCTTGCTGTCGTCACAAAACATTCTCCAGACGACTCACTTGAACTCAGCAGAACTATGTCACAGGGACAAGTATCACCGTTGCAAACAAGAACAATATCACCAATCATAAGTTCAAAGGACCTCTTAGTAACCAATGCACCAGATTCATCAACAACTTCAACTGGCATGTTGTTATTTTTCTGGTCTGCTCGATGTCTCAAAAAGTCTTCATAACCGTCCTTGAACATGGTTAAGGAAAAAACAAAAAGCAGGGGAAGTATTGAGGATGCAGGGCTAATTGGAGCTTCAATGAACAGTTGAATTACGGCTATACAAATAAAGTAAAAATTTGCTATCCTCTGCACTTGCTCGTACAAATTTCGAAAAAAGAAAGAATACCATCTGTACCTTGCTGTCCTAATTTTGTTGTCCCCATACATTTTCAAGGCACATTTTGATTCGGCGTCTAATTTTGGTTTGGACAGTGGTCCAACAGGAATGATCCGACTTTTTGAGTATGGGTAAGGACCAAATCCTAGTGAACTTCTTAATTTTTCGGGCAAGAATAAAGACCACTTCCTGTTTAATGACCCCATTTACCTATGCATCAACAAGCGCAGTCAAGCGATTGAAAGTCAAACGAGATCCAAGGTCAGATCAAGAGTAAGAAGGAAACCTATACAAACACAATTTAAATAAGAACATTGCTGACAAATAGTAGCCTACTTACAAACCATACCTATTATCGAAATTTCACAACATCAGCTTAGCTTGTAGCAGCTATTTGTTGTGAGCGATGCAAAGCATATGGATGCTGCCTAGTCTTTAAAATGTGTGGGAAGCTTTATGTTGCATTTCTTAAAGGGTACAGGCTAAAAAGAGAATGAAGTTCTGTAACGTCTGAAGACTTCAATCATTTGTCTCAGGTGAAATTTTAAATATCTGATCTACAACAAATTAAAAATTAAAGGTATGAAGTCTTATGTACCCCCACATCTGCATACGTATGCTGTGGGAAAAACGCTTAGTTTTGGCTGCAGCAAATATTTCACATTAGGTATCGCTTAGCTATTATTAGCCTGTCAGTGAAACAAGAGAATGGTGTAGATGTCAATCATCTTTTTCTAAAAAAGTTCTTCGAACTTCAGGTACATGCATTTAATCAGCATTGTAAAGATTTGCTCAAAAACGAAGTCGGTTTCGCCCTCTGCTCTCTCTAATTTAGCAAGCCAAGACATAAACTTTTGTAAAAGAATGCAAATGTGGAGCTTTGAGTATTCCTACCAGATGGAAGAAAGCATCACTCTAGATCGAATAAAATTGTTCTAAGGAGGGAAGAAGAGATAAGAACTTGATATGGCTCAAAGACCAGCTCAAGCATACAAGGGCAAAACGAATATAACAGTAATCGCTAAGCACTCGGTAGTCATACAAACAATGCATTACGCAAAATACTGCAGCGAACACTTATCTTTAGAGAAACAAGTTTGTGACTGGAGCTATGGCGTGACCGGATGGAGGATTGCCGTCTAAGGAGTTAGTGTATATAATAAGCCATCATAGGTCTATCAGAGCCTTATTCATTTGAATACCCAACGTTCGGCGGTCACTTTAGACTGGTCTGGCCCTTGTACACATGGGCTGGCCTTTGGACCAAGTCCAGGCCCATTAGTTCCGTCGTCTTCGGAATACATATATCCAGCTGCACTTACTGACTTCTTATACCGACTCGAAAGTCTCAGGACGCTACAGACACCTCTTTGCGATCCACGTATAAAATCGCGTCCCATACTCAGATCTACCTTAGCATATTCCATCAGATGCAGCCTTGGCCAGCGTTGGCATAAACTGACCGCACCAGAGTACAGAAATTATCGCTAGTATTATAGATGTTTACCGGGCTGAAGGATGTAAGCCAAATAATGGGGTTTGAGCAAATTTTCCTTACGAAATGCAACATGACAAGATATACTTTAAGGAGCATTAACCGTATTATTTACTAGTTTCGCAATCAAGGGTTCGTTAATTTTGAAATTAAAGGCAATTCCGCATTTCATATTCATCGAAAATATCCTTGCAAATAATGTCAATCAAACTCTAATATTAAAACAACAAAAATGGCTTAAGCCGAGTTACGCCCTAGATATAGTAGTTCTGATGCAGTAACGGATGTAAATTTTTACGAGTTTAGACGTATTCATGAATGTTAATTTTCAAGGTCACCTTCACCTGCTCACTTTCAATCGGGAGCGGTGGAGCTTATTCAGGGACTGCATTGATGTACTTCACCTAAATTTCCATATTTATTGTTTTTCTCCTGAAATAAAATGACCAAGTGTTTTAGAAAGCTTCAGATCAAACTTGGAATTCGTAGACCCCCCTGGCCCGAAAATCGTGAGATTCCCGTTGGTCCAATATCCCAGTCGAAATTTGTGTCTGAACCCTGGTCACTGAAAAAACTTTATGGGAATAACGAAATTAGCACATCGCGATACACTTGGTATGGCTTTGTTTTTCAGAATCTTGAGGAGCAAGCTCAAAGAATCGCAAATTTTTATTTTTTATGCATTGCTATTGTCCAACTGTTTACGGACTCCCCAGTTTCTCCTGTGACATCCATTTTGCCATTAGCGTTTGTGATACTTCTTACTATGGTGAAGCAGGGCTATGAAGACTTTCTACGCCACAGAGCTGACCGAGAAATTAACAACTCCCCAGTTCAGCTTGTAAACTCTGATGGGACGCTTGTAACGAAAAAAGCATTTGAAATTTCTGTAGGCGACATTGTTTTACAAAGGGCAAACGACACCTTTCCTTGTGATTTGGTTTTACTTAGTTCCAGTGAAAGTAACGGCGAGTGTTACGTGACAACTGCCAGTCTGGATGGGGAGACTAACCTTAAGCGCTTTGTTGCCATATCTGCTACGAAGAATCTCGACTCCCCAGAAACATTGGCAACGCAATTAGAAGGGAGCATAACATGTCAACAACCAGTTGATGACTTCTACAAATTTTACGGCAAGATTACTCTCCGCATTAATGGTTCAGAGTTCACGGAGCCACTGGGTCCTGAATGTCTACTTCTTCGTGGAGCAAGACTACGTGACACCGATTTTATTTACGGTGTTGCAGTTTACACAGGTCCAGATACTAAAATGTCCCTCAACTCCAAGGGAAAGCAGACGAAATACTCACAGGTTGAACGACAATTGAATACCTTCCTTTTGGTTATTTTGGGTATCCTGGTAACAATTGCTATTCTCTACACCATTTTGCAATTCACACTACGTCCCACCTCCGCCTGGTACATCACCTTAGTCAGGCCAACCACTTGGATTATTGTGCAGGAATTCTTGGGTTTTCTGGTCCTCTTCAATTACATCATTCCCATTTCTCTTTACGTAACAATTGAGTTCCAGAAGTTTTTCGGTTCCATTTTTTTTGGTTGGGACATACAGATGTATGACGAGGACATTGAGGAACCGGCTCTGGTCAACACCTCTGACATACTTGAGGAGCTTGGTCAAGTACGTCACTCACTCCGTCTCATTACATCCTTTTAACCACTAAAGTCAACACATTCTTTACGCTTGAAGTTTACCACTTTTAAAGCCAGTACGGGAGACTGAATTGTAGGCTGTTGTCATGGCGCCTAAAGCAGGCTTTAATTTCCTTAATAGGACAGACACTCTGGCATTAACTCCTTCCCTTTCCTTATCACTTTGCTGAGCTCCATGTAGAATTGTCACGCCTAACGAACTTTAATCTCACATTTTAATGCCTCTCTTTCCTCATTAATGCTGTTTGTAGGTGCATTTATGCACACAACTTTTCAAAATAAACCAAATTCATAAAGTTTTACCCTTTGAACCCCCTTTAGGCTAAAACAATTGTCTCACAAATAATTTTTAACTCACAAATGAAATAACATCTGCATACCTGACTTGCATTCTCTCCACCAAATTTTGCAGTTCATATCTTCACAACTATCGTCATTCAGCGTGTGTGAATACAAACCAGGTGATACTTGTGAATCGCTTTCTACCTTACAATAAAATGACACCACTTTTTTGCAATCATTAAGTCACATTCAGGCGACTACTTGTAGCTCTGCACTTGAAAGGCGTCTTTGGAGATTGTGAGGAGGGAAAGAAAGGGGTGGGGGAGGTGGGGGGGAGAAAAGGGTATCCTCTATTGCCTTTCCATAATTTGTTATTAAAAATGGAAATACTCTGTTATCTACCGTGGGCTTTGATTTGACACAAAATTGGCATTTCGACTGATTGACAGACCTGATGAGTCATGTCATTTGTCGTGGTGTTCTTCATTCAAGGTTTCGGAAGGGAAGGTTGACTTTTTATTCAATCCAGACGACTGTCTGCCACCTTGTAGGACCCTTTCTCACTCCCCTCCTCACGCTTCACCTTAAACCTGTCACTTTAGACGTCAATTTGCATTATGAGTTAATTAAAGACCAAATTAACATACCGCCCTGAATCAATCATCCAAGGAAGTAGTCTCCTCACTGCCTTTGAATATTTCCTTTCCATTATGTTGGAGTGCTTGGCGTTTATGCACTGCCACGGGAGCAGCATTGTAGTTGCGGTTTTTTTTTTTTTTTTTGAATGCGACACTTCTCATTGGTTCGTCACCTCACAATTACTCAGATGCTGTAAGTCACTGGAGTTCCTTCCGTTGATACTCGGGAGATGGAGGCAAATTTTAGTACATTTATCTGTTTATGACCTGGTAGAGGCGGCCTCCTGTCGCCTTTCCTTGAGGTCATTTCAAGGTGCAGTAACCTAATTAATGCATTTTTTACACCACGTGAACAGATGATCTGTTCACCTCCGAATTGCAAAGCCCGCAAGTGAGGCTCTGGGCCTGTGAGCGACTTGATTGCCCTGGAATTAAAAAAAAATGCCTCTTCAGTATTAACAAAGTACCGCTCGCTATCCCAATCACTTATTCCTGTCCCACCTATTCAATCCAGTCATAAAGTAAGGCCTTTTATTTGTCCTTGTCACCGGAATAGTCATTTACTAGTCGCCTTGGCCTATAAATAGGTTGGAGGAAGGGGTTGGCGGGACTCAGACCAATCAAGTGTCGATGTTGTTGGCCTTACCGTAGTACACTGTCCATTGGAAGTTAAAGTCATGGAAGCGTACATAAGTTAACCTCAATCCACCATGCAGACACCGTCTGCACAGCTGATTGCCATTGCCAACGGTTGCTCACCACACTAAATTTGCCTTGTTCATTGTGCTGACGGACAAAGGTTGCTCACACATGGAACTTTGAAAGCGCCTAGGCATTACATCAAGTGCCAATAGGCGCACCTTGAGGCTTGGTGTTGGAATGGAGACAAGATTTTGTCCTCTCAATCTCAAGTACTGACAAGTGATGGACTTGGAAGAGTGATGTCTGTACACCAAGCCCATGTCTATTGTCACTGAAGCCTGCTTGATCCTCCACCGCCCACTCCCTTCCAAATGCCCCCAACTCACCGTATCATAGTGCGCTGCAATATCGTCTTGTTGCTCCTCTATCCTTCCTGCACATGAATGAGCCTTTGAGGCCCATTTTTGCTTTCTTTTTCATTGCGTTAAGTGCTTTTACTTAAGCCTACTTTGTTTTTATTTGATCTGTTCGTGATTGTAATGGCAAAGCAGAACAAATAGGTTTTTTTTTGGTTCGTTCTGGTATCTCTCGACCCTGACATTCTGTATGAGCGTCGCATTTGAACGTCGCCCTCGTCGTTCACTCAAATTATGACCACTTTTTAAGGCTGAATCGCCGTCATACTTCTCACAGATTCTTCCATAACAGATGGAACTCACTCATGCATGTGTCTCCCCTTAAAACATGTGTCTAGTAATTATGTGCATTTGGACAATCAAGCAAATATACCTTACAAGTTGTGAAAATTATCCTGACAGAATTTTTTCCATAACTAACGCATGCTACAAAGCATCTTTCCATCTCTTTCAACCCCCGTTGCGTAATGTTTTCTTTTATTCTGGTACTACAAACCGGTTCTTACTTTCATTAATTGACTCTTCCACTGGAAATTGGGCCCTCCTTTTCTCCGTAAGGACATCTCATTTGGACATGCTACTGTTGCTTATAAGTAGTGTATACTACACGGATTTTATCTTAAAGACGTATGATAGCCCCGTTGGTAATGCGAGGAAGTGATAAATTTGGGGAAAGCTCAATTGTACTACTTCAGAACGGACGTGTCAAAAACCTCCAAACTGCTTTTTGGCAGATACTACTGTGGAACTTCAGTAGCGTGCGTAACCAACATATTGTTAATACTACTTGAAAAGTAAAAGCAGTTGTAGCCACCCCCAAGAAAGTGATGCTGCATGTGACTGAGGTACTGATTTGTGTCTCTTTCATTCTAGGTGGAATATTTGTTTTCTGATAAGACCGGCACTCTGACAGAGAACTGCATGGTCTTTCAACGCTTCTCTGTTTCCAGCGGGACTTACTACGCGCGCGATAATCGACTCTTTCCTTTGGTCACTCAAAGAGTCTCCTCAATAGCTGACATTCAGTCACCACGCACCTCCGGAATAGGCATAAAGCCGACAGAGATGTCAGAAGACGCCCAAATTCTCTTCCTAATTCTGGCACTCTGTCATACTGTGCGTGTGGAACGAGAGGTTGAACAGGTTGGTCGCACAACTGGTGACCCTTCAAAACATCGGAGTGGACTGGAGACGGGAAAAAAGATGCTGAAAAAACCACTCAAACTCATCACGGACATAAAGGTGCGAAAAGCACCACCTCGACGTCAGGCCAGCATCATGCGTCGCTTCTCTGCCATGCAGTCAGCGGAAGACGCAATTTCTAGTTTACGACGTGGAACAGGTGTCACAAAGACCAATTATGACTACCAGGTAAGCAAATTTATCATTTTTATGCATTTGTTATCACTCTGTTTAAAATTGGAGCTACTGGAGGCATTGGTCTATCGTCCTTTGGAACTGATTCACCAACTCTCGCACCATTCAAAATTCTAAACAGTCTCCCAAGCTACGTAAGGCTGGAAGGAGCCTCATATTTAAGAAGACAAACAAAAACGACATTCTACTAAAGTAGACGCTTTATTTCTAATATCGGAGCCACAGATGACGGAAAGTGAGCTACCATGTCACAGCATATCATGTGACTGCCGCCTTACAAGCCGGACTTTCTTTTATTCTTCATAGTGGATTGGAGACAGCAAGCTCGTATGCAAATTGCACCACCATAGAATTGTGTTTTGCCATACACTTTGTGCCTCCTGTCCTTCAGCATGTGCACAGTGTGTGGGATCAACTTCTCCCCCGCCACGTTCCCTGTGACTGTCGTTGAGGGTGAGGAGCATCTTAACCATTCACACCGCGATGGACATTATCAATTCGGAAAACTGACTAACAAACAGGCGGAAGAACGAACACTGAATGTGACTCTTAGGAATGCCTATTGAGGTCTTCTGCTTGAATAGGTACAAGTGTAGGAAATTGTGCCTAATCAAGGCTCCTACACCCTTCAGGTTTGTTCAGCACGAATTTGAGAAGGGATGTTTAAAATCCACTAGCAACCAAGTTATTGAGCTGTTCAACCAGTGAGACAGTTTTCAGCATATATAATCTTGTTCTCGCTGTTTGACGACATTTAACACACAGGGAATGTGCAAAAGCAAACGTTGGTGGATGCATATTGCAAAATCACACGTTTAAGCGACTGATGAGTCGATAGAAGGGCTTTTTGGATGACTGAAACCTTGACCTCCTTGCAAATGCCAACTAGGAGTCATTTAAGAGATATCTAATACGAATCGAAAGCGATTCCACAGATGCTACTTATTAAGGTATTTGAGTAGCATTGGAATGACAGATTATGAAATAGGTGACATTCTTGCTCTTCCCTGGATTTTGACCGATTTAGAGTTGATCGATAGGCGCTTTTTACTGTTTCTTTTTGTTTTCTCAAGTAAAAGCTTTCAATGTATTCTTGTAAAAGAATTGAGGGTCACAGAAGATGTACCATTTTTGCTTTACAAAGTTGCAAATTTTATGGCATCTGCACTACTGCGGACTTCAACTTAAAAGATAGCTTAGCAAGGTGCATTCAAGACTATACGAGGGACAAGGTTGACACTCATAAAGCAAAAGATCTTTGCCGCTTTGCTTCAGAAGCGAAGTTTACGCACCTCACTACTTCTATTTACAGCTAGAAAGATGGTTGCTTTGACCTTTCAGAAAGCGATGCTGTATAAAGGTTGCATCCACCCTCTGGCAGTTGTGGTGAAGCCACTTCACCATCTCGCCTTTCAACCGCAGTAGAGAGAGGCTCGAGAATCCTTTTATTTGCGCTACTTGGTTATTAAATGAAATATGGTTGCTCAGTGGAAGATAGTGAAGAATGATTTACACAGTTGGCAGAATTGTTATAGTGGCGCAAAAGGCAATAGGTTAAAATTTAGACGCTCTTTAAGCGAAGACTTTTTTATCCACCTTTTCTACCTACTTTGAAAGTTCATGGAAATTTCGGACGGAGATAGTTTTGCAGTAATTGTGCACAGATTGTAGGGGATTACCAATGATTGTTTCCCGATTGCAATCCTCTTTATCTGTGACACATCCCAATCTCCAAGATTTTGCTCCTCTTTTCAAGGGGGACAAAACCACTGATCGAGAGTGTTTTGGTGATTTGTAATTTAATTCAACCTTACACAGAACAGACCACTGGTTCTAGTTGTTTTGACGGCCTTCATCGGTGGAGGCGCGGGGTAAACAATCTGCAACTGGCGAAAATGAGGGCAGTATAACCTACTCCCACATAGCCTGTCATATTTTAAAGCAGAGGACTATAGTGCTGTTCACATCCAACAAACTTTTGTTCTCTCAGCACAGGAATCAGTGCATTTAGTGCCTGGTGCGTAACAGGAGGGGAGTGGTTTTACAACTAAAAAAAGTGCTTCATGGAAGTAGTGCATCCACCATAAACAAGTGTGACTCTGTGATGTGTAAATTACCCATTAATATATTGTTTAAAATTGAAGAAAGAACGCTAAAATAATCAGTTTTATAATCTACCTTTTTAGCTCTACTTAAATGGTCTATTAAGTAGTATCTACTCAGGTCACAACAAAAAAAGCATTTGATTACTCCCATATTTTGTCGTAGTGTAAAAACAAAAAAGAATTTAATATCCACTGTTTTTGTGGCTGAGACTACACGATCAACTTGGTTTTACAGCGTCTGGGCTAACTAAAAATTTGATACCATCTTTTGTCGCAAAACTGGCAGTTGAAGGTCCTTGTTGCTTGTAAGAGCGAAGAGATAGGTGGAATGCTATACTAAATCGGTTATCATGGCACTTATGCTCCAAAGCTAGCATCTGCGCTTTCAAAATTCATTTTAATCACATTTTCGGATTCAGAGACCGCTCTTGTAAGTCCACATTTTCCATAACGTTAGGAGGGAGTGAGAGAGGAAGAGATGAATACCAAAAGTTGACCTTTTTTCGACCTTTCTTATTCCATTAGATCACCGAGACTCCTGATTGGCGCCTACCTGTTCGCCTCAACTGTTTTGGAGTTGGTTTTGTGTGGTGTAATAAACCTCCCATCAGCCACTTTCTTTTCACCACAATGAAAATCGAGCCTGTCCACTGAACCACCTTCTCATTCCTCCTTTTTTGGGACTTTTTTTTAGATACAAAACATCACACCACTCCCACACCCATGACACTTTGATTTTCATGCCTGAGTTTGCACAACGCGGATACGTGAAATGGGCCAGTGAATCGCGTCAAAACGTGATGTCACTGCATTAGCGAGGCCATGAAACCATAGCAATGCGGCGAAAGAACAAATTTTTAGGTTACTAGTTTTTTTTTGTGTGAAGCATTGATGCATCATATTGGGAGCGTCAAAACCTCCCAACGCGAGAGACCGAGACGAGGACGCGACGAGGGCTGAGGCCAAGGCGGGACAGCGAAGCGGAGTGGACGGTAGATGGAGGTTGAAATTTGTCCCTCATTAAATCTCGACTGGGTCTTATGCCTGATGTGCAAAGGAGTGATAGGAAAGTCGGGAGGGAAGAGAAGGGGAAGGGGGTTACAATTTTACCACATTTCTGTCAATTTCTTCCTCCTTGGAGGCGATAGACGTACATTCTTTCCCTCTGGGCGCTCCCCCTTCGTTTTCATGCGAGAGGGAGCGAGAGAGGGCAAAGGTGGTAAAAAGACGCTACCTTACAGAGACAGTCAGCTTAAGATGATGCAACTAAGTCAACTCTACCTCCTTTTGTAGGCGTCGTCACCCGATGAAAAGGCGTTTGTAGAGAGCTGCCGTGATTTCGGTATTGTCTACCACGGAGTGGATCCAAGTGGCTTTCATGTAAGCTCTCTTTTTTTGTCTATTTTTTTCAACACCTTAATCAGTTTAATGGGACTTTTTTTATGTAGATTGACTTAATTACTTTAAAGTCTATTTTTAGTCCACATTTGATGGGTTTCTTCCTTTCTTTTTACACCAGGTTGTGACAGTGTTTGATCAGACGGGTACACGTTATCGTGTTTTGGATGTCTTGGGATTTGACTCAGATCGAAAGTGTATGTCAGTGGTTTTACAAGCTGTTCGAGAGCACGGAATGACCACCTCGACTGAATTTGATCGTAATCAAGGCGTTGTCATACTTTGCAAGGGTGCTGAGACAAGCATTCTACCGAGAGTAAGTTTGACGCCTTCAATCAGTCCTTCCATTTCCTCCACTCGAAGGAATATGCATTGGATACAAAGCGTGTAGTTGTGGTGACAAAGAGTTAATGTGGACGTTATTCTTCTCAAAGTTGTCTATCAACTGTTTGCGTCTTAATTTGTCAATTCTGACCTAATGTGACAACCATTAAAAGTTGTCAAAAGTCGTCATTACGTTGGTTGTGGTCATTACATGCAAAAACGAACCCTCGTTGTCTTGAGAACGCTGTAGAAGAGGCTCTAGAGAGATTAATCAAACCTATCATTGTCGATTTTGAAGGGTCACTTTGTCAGTTGACAAGCAAAACAATCGAAATGATTTTGTCAAGCCTTCACCCAGCATAATTAGACGCTATAAAAGGCTGATTGACAACGAATCTCACATATGTGGAACTGGTAAAGTGGCTCACCGGAACCTCTCTTATTTCGATCAGAGATTATACCATGCGTTGGAATTGCATTTTTTTTTTTGAAGTGGATCATTTTAGGGTTGTTCTTCAAATGAGTAGACATTTTATTTGCCACATTAGTTAGTTTTCAACGTACGGTTGCAGCAGATTTGGCACGATACTTGGGTAATAAACTAGCCATTCGCCTTTAGGCAATCGAAATTGTCATTTTTTGTACATTACTCTGATTAGTATTTTGCTTTTTTTGTTCTAATGGACGAAATATGTTTCATTTAACTGATGGCTTTTTTGTTAAGATTAATTTCCTTTTCTCCTTAAAACAATGGTAGAGAGTAGGGTCAAAACAGCCAAGCCCTTTTTTACCATTACTCACATAATTTTAAAATAAAGCCAACAGTTAAAATCACCCACCCAACAGGCACATCAACCAAAACGGCAGGTCCAAAGTCGACAGGCCCATCATTTCTGAGTGCACAAATGAGATTACTGAATAAGATGGCCAATCAGAAGAGAGAGTGGGTTACGAGCCAATCAAAATGAGAGCAAAATTAGTTTTGTGATTGGTCTGTCCTTCATTCTGCAAACTTTTTACTTTGCACTGAAATTTATGCATTTCGTGATTGGAAAGTGACGACAAGACCTATTTACGCTTAAAAACTTCCCGACTGAAGTGTCTGAGGAGTTGAATTCATTTGATTTGGCTCAACTCTGATGTCTTCAGCTTTAGAGTAAATTTAACATTGACGAGCTGAACAAATGGGCAAAACAAACCTCTCAAAGAGACAGATTTTACTCCTAAGTAATTCGTACTGCCACCCTCGACTGAAGACTCAAAAGTTATTAACTATTAGGGTGGTATTGCGGTAACTGAACCTCGGCAAAAGAGGAATCAACATTGTAGAGGTGTTGTGAGGCATCCACATAAACATGGACAAAGGCTATAAAATGTTTTGCCTTCACGACCAGATGCCATTCAGCAGCGTCACCATTTGCTAACCACCTGTCTGTCAACAATCACTCAACAGCATATGCATTTTTGAGTCGTTTCGTTCAGTCGTCAAAAGGAAAAATTTTTACATCCCTAACATTTAAACGAGGCACATTTCTTCCTTCTAGGAAGCAGTTGGGAAATTGTTAAATATAATCTCACTTTATCATTAGTGTAAACGAGACACGGAGACTTTATTTAGTCTATCTGTCTTAAGTTAGTAATTTACTTCTCTACAATTTGGTTACTTAGTTGTAAAGATTGTCACCAGTCGGAGCTGCAAGCGCAGGAATAAATTAGTAATTTTAACTGAAAGATTTGACTGAATCGCATATTTAAAGCATGAAATCAACAATATCATCTCCTTACAATACCGTTGACTTCTTTCCTCTACCTGCAAGTGTGGACGCATTGAGCATATGCCACTCCCTCCAGCCATCAGTGCCAAATCCACCTCCGACGACCTTTTATCCAGTAGACTATTTGGAAGTCTCGAGAATCTTCAAAAATACTCTCTGACACCGGATTATGTGATGGCAAGAGTGACAGATTTTGCTTCAGCAGGTCTACGAACCCTAGTAATGGGAGCTCGTTACTGTCCCCCTGAAGAGTGGCTCAAACTCAAGGCCAGTTTGGATGCAGCACGAGGGAAACTGGAGGGACGAGAGGCTGCACTTGCTGATGCCTACAAAGCAGTGGAGTGTGAACTTGCCCTCGTTGGATGCACTGGAATTGAGGATAAATTGCAAGATGGAGTGCCAGAGACACTCACTGCTCTCCGAGAGGCTGGAATTCAGGTTTGTCTTAACACCCTTATTTCTCCCTTCCTGTCGTCCAAATTGTAATACCGTTACTGAGGTTTTAAAGGTCTTTGAGAAGTGCGCAAAGTTCTGATTGTGTCAACGTTGTCAAAATTTGTCATTTGGTATTAATTTAATAACAAGTGTCCATCTTGCATGTGTTCCGGATGATAAGATTCTGTCCATAGTTCTCATGCCAGTGGACGCAATGCTTCCACACCAAAGCTGAGGCTACGAGATTCGACAACTCAGTACCGTTGGTCGTGTCTCACCTCCCTTTCTTTTAGGTTTGGGTTCTGACTGGCGATAAGGAGGAGACGGCCGTCAATATCAGCTTCTCTGCCGGTCATTTTGCTCCCGGTTTACCTACAGTTCGTGTAACTCAAAAAGACAGCCTGAGGGAGTGCATAGAAGCAGTCAACACACAGATTGAAAGGGTTCAGGAGTCTCACAACCTCGATTCCGCCTACACATTCGGTCTGGTTATTGATGGTCATTCACTAAACTACGCTTTGACTGTGAGTTTTGAGGTCTAGTTTACCCGGTTTGAGTGTGCCAGATGATAACTCCCAGCTGTCACTCCAGGCCAAAGCAGACAAAAGGGAGGGTGTAAGTAATTTACATGAAATAACGACTTGAGCGGCGCCATAGTAGCTGAATGCCAGTGTTTGTTCCTACTCAATGCAAGTCCAACTACAAGTCGATTACGAGAAGTGTGAAAGACAATTAACACGCTTTGCTTACTGCTGCTAAAATACAAATTCATTTTTTGAGCCCTACAAAACCGGTAGTCAGGTGTGTAACGAGGGTGCTCATCGTCTTCTAGTGGACTGAAATTTAAAACGCCACTGCCGGATGAAGCTTAATTTTGGTCGTTTTCTGGGTCTCTCAGGAGTTGTTCTCAAGAGGGGCTTGTTACTATTCGCTTGGAACATAAATGCCATCCTAATTTGCTCTTGAAGTTGAGGATCTGAAGAAGCTGAGTATAAGAGATTGAAAAACGCCACTAGATGGGGTGATGTTGATTGGAGGGTGGTGGTATACCTAAATTTTAGCAAAAAATTATTCCTAGTTGTTGCTTTAATTCTATAAAATTGCGTCATAAAAGGAGACAATTTTTGAGCGTTAGATACTACTTGTGGGGAAATCAGTAGATCACAACAATCTGAAATTTGAACGGCTATCCTGGTTTCATAAAATTACGTCGTATTTAGCATTGGTGGACATGACATACTTCATTGTTGGTGGTTTTAGGCGGTTTTGAAAGAACAGTTTCTCAACCTTTGTCAAATGGCCAGTTCTGTTCTCTGCTGTCGATTAACACCCATACAGAAGGCTGAGATCGTACGAATGATGAAAGGTAGTCGTAGACCCAGTCCTGTCTGTTGTGCCGTTGGAGATGGAGCAAACGACGTCTCCATGATTCTTGAAGCTCACGTTGGAATCGGTCTATTTGGAAAGGAGGGTCGTCAAGCTGTTCGTGCCTCCGACTACGCACTGGGAAAGTTTCGATTTCTCAAACGTGCTCTCCTATTTCATGGATTTCATTACTACGTACGAACAGCAAATCTCGTACAGTACTTTTTCTACAAAAATCTCGTTTTCACACTGACTCAAGTGCTGTTTGGTATATTTTCCCTCTTCTCGTCTCAAAGCATCTATGCCAATCTCTACCTCCTACTCTACAACATTACCATGACGTCTATTCCAATAGTATGTTACGGCATCTTTGAACAACGTGTGCCGGAGATTGCATTAATGAGTAATGCTGAAATTTACAAGACAATTTCTAAGAATCGGCTACTCTGGTGGCGAAACTTCTTCATTTGGCTTTCCTTCTCTGTGTGGCATGGTTTGGTCATCTTCTTTGGAACCTACTTCCTTGCCGGCGAGGGTGTTTCTAATGGTGGAAATGGTGGGAATGCCATTGGCGTTTTGGAGGGCTTTGGCTCTTTTATGATCGACTGTGCTTTCATTACTGTGAACATCAAATTGATGTTAGTCAGTTACCACTTCAACCTCTTCTTAATAATCTCCGTGGTGGGTACACTGGTGGTCAATTTTGCCATATTCATACTTGCCAACTATGTCAAACTACCCATTGGTGAGCAATATGCCCTACTAGGAGTATGGACACGGATTGGAACCGGTTTGGGCGCCTTTGTCTCCTACTTGGGACTTTTTGTCATCTTTGGATTGTGTTTTTTGCCGGATCTCCTTTATCGCCTCTATTTGGACAGCAGAGCTGGGACTTACTCCCAACCAGCTGCCAAATCATCGGAAATAACAACAGCGGATGAGTCAAGTGGCTCGTACAATTGTGCTGTCAATGTTGCCTACTATGGAAGCCTTGTAAGTCAGTGAAATCTACTTATTTCAAATTAAGTAGCATACGCACAATGCATAAGATCTCCATATGCCTTTTGATGCAACTGTCCAGGTCAGTGTAATTCAGATTGAGGGATCACACAATTCTGAGCAATGGTTATTGTCCTTATACGTACATTCCATTCGAAGGGAGTGCCACTCCGTTTTCTACCATCTTATGGATAAAAAACGCACTGACAGCACCAATTCGCCTCCTTATGTGTGACTGATACAGAGGAAAGGGTTTTCAATGAGGAAAGGAGGTAAAGTAAGGTGAGGGCTTCTGTCACCGTCACTAACAACGAGAGAGAAGTGTGTGTAAAATAGTTTTACGAAAGGAACAGAACGGCATAAGTTGCAAATGTCTTTGAACTGCAGGCTGTGAATCTCAAGACTACCCTTAGTTTAACTTTATGGCAAAGCGCGTGCCATTAGAGAGTGTCGAAAAGGTCTCGAGAGAAATTTGGCGCATGGGTTTGATTCATTTCACCAACACTTCGTTCTCAAGTGGGCTCAGCAGAGCGTGGGGACTTGTGACTCATTCATATTCGGGTCTCACTCAACGTGGCATCGAATTTTGGCATAACCGAAACATTCAGTCTGAAATTTTTAATTTCGTTTTTGCCTTTTGAATTCGAAGTGCTTTGTTTATTACGCTATTACTATCTTTTGATATCTCTTACCACATGAAAGACCACTACAATAGAAAAACCTTGCTGGTAAATTTTATCTACCGAAAAAATTTCAGGACAATTCCAATGGGCATGTTAGAGCGCGACTAAACGTGAGGGAACGGTAGAATGGAGAGCTGCGGTGTCAAGAATCTCCCCAATCCCTGTCTCCCCTCCCTTTCAGATCTGATTTCGCATATCAAGCTTTCATAGTTTTAGTTCTTTCCTCCGTGAGTTCATCACGCGCTCTAACAGCCTACTAACCGCTTAACACTATGCTATTAATTAAAAGTGAATTGCTGCCTGGCTAGAAACTCAGGTGAGCCTACTGAAATGTCATATAGTAGTATGAAACTTATTTGATAATTGCATCAAGGAATAGTGAGGAGTGGGTGTATTTTTTTCTGCTAACACATGATGCATAAAAAATTTGTCAGTTTAGGAGGTTGGAGTTAGGGTTGAAGCAAATCACTGCAGTAAGGCTACTGAATAAACACAATTGAGGTGGCAATGCGAAATGAACCATAACACCCATCGACTAACATCGAGTTTATTTCTCTTCATTCGACCAGTAATTCGTGACACTACTTGTCATTTTAGACAAATGTAAATTTTCATTCGTACAAAGTCAGGCACGTCGACCCCTCCGCCGCTTACTTGCGGCGCATTCAAGAGGAGCAAGAGAATAGAGCTGATGAAATATGTTCTCCCAACTGTACGGGTCATTCCTTTAACGTATTTTTCACCAACACAACAAGTGAGGTCTCCTCTGCAGTAATTCCCAAAGACGATCCGTACTATGTTCCACGACCTACGGACTCCTCTGAGTATCGTCGAATCAGTCCACAGGCTTTCTTACAAAAGTCCTCATGATAGAGACGGCTATTAGATACCTGAGTTAGATTATTCGTCTCTTTCTTGCGCTTCACTTCTCTTTCACCTTCTAATCCTTCTTTCAGTTCTTTTTGTACGCTTTTTCTTTTCATTTTCGTGTTGTGCATTGATGGCATTGCATGCCAAGGGAAAGTCATCAGTTAAAAATTATTTTTTATACATAAAGAATTTAGGCTTAAGCCAGCATCTTATTTGAGAGGATGAGTTCGTTTCAAGGGTGTGCTAAGTACGATGTGAGGATGCACACTAACTGCCCGTTGAAGAAATAAATGTGATTCTAAATTGTTAATGTAGCCGCCAGTTTTGAGAACAAGGCAGTGGCGGTCCCGAGACCTCTGTGTCATACCAGTAGCTACCCTTTCTTGCGTTCAGAACGGTCCTCAAACGCTACGATAGATTTTGAGAACCTTTCTGTTCTGCCCTTAGCTTGAGGTACAGTTGTTGTCACCTTTCACCAACTGGAGTTCTTGACAGAGCAGTCGAAAGCCTATTGATGCGAAAGGCTGCAACTATATTTTGAATAAACTTAAAGATTGGCTAGAAAACCATCTGTGTCGATCATCACCTTCGTTCCTTGGTGTAGCCAGCAACGGCAGGTGATTGGCTGGCTCTGTGACCAATCAAATGGCTCCATTCCTCTAAGATATCTTGGATACAAAGTTAACCCAACTAAGTGAATTTCTGTTTAAAAAAGTTATTTCATGAATGATTTATGGGCTTTAGAAATATCTTGCAGACTAAACTGGCAGTATTAGCATCTATGGCTTCAACGAATGCATAAAGGGACTGATCACAGCAAAACATCGTTATTTTAAATGCCAAACTGCCCAAGACCTGAACAACTACATAGAGGTCATGACATTCAAATAACGTCCTCTCCTCCAGTCCACTGCTTTAGAAAATATGATAAAAGCCTATGTTTAGAGGGTTTTAGAGGGAAGGTATTGGTGAATTTCCAGCTTATGCAAGAATTGTCAAAATGCTACGAGAATTTCTGCATTTTAGAATAGGCCATACGATGCATTGTGTTCCATCGAAGAACACTGCTAAAAATTGAATGACGGTGTTTATGAGTTCCAAAACACAACAAACGAGTCTGAAAGCACGGCGATAGGAGAGAAGCCAACGCGGTATAAAACAAATAGCACGATTAGTGCATTTGCTGCGGAGAGAGAGAGAGACGAGTTCAAGCTCTTTTGGTGGACTTTGGAATGCCTTGAGGAAGGTAGACTTTAAGTTTTCTCCGTGTCATCTTAATCATCTGTTCAGCTGCATCTGTGTTGAAGGAATTAGGATGAGGCGGAACGGATTCACAGTCCTCAAAATAGACTCCAGGTTCACCGGCCCGCATCAAAGTCACGAAAATCGTAGTTTGAGCGGCTTGCCAAGGGGATTTGCCCACCCATGTCATTAGGTAGGCAAATGGCTATCATAAACAAACACAAAGACCAGGCTAGAACCATCCTCGCATCTCCATTAGAGTCAACCCTAAGAGAATCAATCCAAAGAAGGCGACACCTCAGCCAGTCAATCTGTGTCTGTGGTCACATATTCACTTACCTCAGGGAGGACACTACTAAAATGTCGATTTTCAAATCCTGGATGAACACTGACAATGCGAATTTTGGAGGGATTCACGTGTGTGTTCAGGTAGTTGGCATAAGTGAGGAGGGCCAAGTGACTGGACGAGTAGGCCTTCCACCACGAATAGGTCTTGGGATCAATCCGCGCAGTGGTTAGAGCTGTCGGTAACTCGCCGTAGTTGTGCAGTCGAGAGGAGACAAACACCAAACGCGAAACAGCGTCTGGGTTAGCTGACCTCTCCAATAGCGGCAAGAGGTGTTGGGTAATTAGGAAACTCGCCAAGTAATTCAATCCCATATTGCGCTCAAAACCTTCCACAGTGCGTTCGGGTTTTGTGGACAGGTAGACGGCATTAACAATGAGGATGTTGAGCTGTTTGAATTCAGCAATGAAGGCTTCGCAAAATTTTTTGATCTCTGCAGCAGAGGAGATGTGTAGACGCCTGACGTAGAGCTGTTGAAGGTAGCCAAAAAAAGATGTTCCAGACGTTAATAATCACTACACTAGCAAATGGCTAGGCAGTAGTAAAACAACTATAAAACTGAGAGAGCGAATGAAAGCGAGGAGAGCTCTTAGTAGAGCACACCAAACCGATAGCCACTAAGCCTTAACCTAAGCCACCTCATAGATGCGAGTTAAAATAGACTCTAGTCTACTGAAATTTACTGGAGTGACAAATTTTTGGACGTCAAATCGTCCTCCGAGAGTGGCTCTAAACATAAATTCGAGCTCAGGGAGCTCCATCGGTGATAAATGACATCGATGCTACTCCAAAAATGTAAACATCTCAAGTTTCATCACTTAACGCTAAAGCCTGGCGTGTTGAAGTTGGGTTTTACGCTTCAAATGAGTGCCTAACGTGAGGGCTAAAAGTAGGACCGACTTCGGAAACGCTATTTATGGACCATCTGGAAGTACTCCTTGAAGAGCTTTCTACTGTGAAATCGCGCTCGATCTTGTGGCAATTCGCGACCAACAAAGAATTAGTAAGTTGCGATAAACCTGACTTTTTTTGTGACCATACGGTTATTGACCCACCTGATCGGCTTTAATGGAGGACACGCTTTTGATCGTATCCTCTCGCATTTTCGATTCGGCGATCCTTTCCGGTGAACTGCTACCAGCTTTGCTGTGAGCAAATTCGCTGACAAGTTGCTGTCGCATGGTGTTGCAGAAGTCTACAACTTGACAAGCCATGACAACACGGGCACCGCGTCTAGCCAATCCACGAACTGTTGCGATGCCAATATCTGTGTCCGCGGCCAAAACAAGAGCCACACGATTGTCTAGCCGTCCCTCTAGGGAGCAGACACAGCCTGCTAAATATTGACGTCCAGAACGGTATGCAATGGCCGCGAGAAGCACCAAGACAATTTTTTGCAATGTTGACATGAGAACTAAAATGAAACAGATGTGGATCTACTTATACCATAATTAGTAGCATGCCTGGTGCTGCAAAGCACGATGGGCGTCAAACATGGTCACCTCAGAAGGCGATACATTGCAACTTTGAAAGCCTGCACGAGGTAGGCTCACTTTACGATTTAAAATCTGACAACAGGTCGACCAATCTAAGATGATTATTGTGTGCATCGGTAAACTTGGTCCCGGACCACTGGAAATGCGCGGACGCTACGGACGCCTCCTAACGAATCTTACGTCACAATTACTCCTCCAATTTAATAAATTTTGCAATTTACATATGAGTAGGGTAATGAAGCATAGTCAACTGCATTGTGCTAGAAAATTTGCTCCAACAAGTTGAACCGCCCCGCAATTCCAGATGTTTAAAACCAAACGAGGCTCTTCGCGTTATGGATTTGGAAGGCGAATTTTTACGCTTGCAAAAATCCTTCGTAATCTCGTTCTAGTGTCATCATGCAATCCAAAAGAAAAAGTCGAATCTCTCAATCCCCACCGCCTTGTGATTGTATTCCGTAAGTTGGAAGTGACTCATGCGCTGGAATGTCCCCACTCTACATCAAATCA